CTCAGATGGGCGGCTCACTGAACCATTGCTAAGGTGACACTCGTCCATCCTCTTCAGCATAAGCAAACAAAAGATCACTCTGGGATAAACAGATAACCCCTTGCTGCCCCATAAGCTCCCCTCACCCCGAGATCCCAGCCTGCTAGATGCTGCTTGTCTCAGTGGGGAATAAATAAGCAATAGACATGAGAGTGGAACATGCATGACGACGCTTGCCAAAGTGAGCTCAGGATTTGCTCGGCTTAGAAATTGGCAAGGAGGAAATCAGCTACTCACTGAAAGTGGGGTAGGGAAGATGGCTCGGTCAGCCCCAAACCCTAATCATCAGGGGCACACTTGAGCTGTCTTCAGGACACTGTGCTGGGAAGGGATTTGGCTTTTCCTTGAACTTTCTGGATGAGCAGCAGTTCTAACTTGCTGATGCTCAGAATGCATTCTCCACTCTGCCCTGGGAAGCCCAGGAGAACGCGGAAGGTGGCTTCAAGTGCTGATGCCAAAACCACTGCCTCCATGACCACTAGACAAGAGAACATGGGGTTACCCCACAACACAATTTTGGAGGTTTGATCAAAGAGAGAACTTCCTGATTGATTAAAAAGGCAGTTGGGCAACATTATGCCATTAAATGTGAAAATTTAGATAAAATGGGCAAAGTTGTAGAAAAACGCAGATTACCAAAACTGACAAAAGAATAGGAAGCCTGTATAAGGGAGGGGCGCATCACACGCTGGGGTCTGTTGGGGGCTGGGGGGCTAGGGGAGGGATAGCAGGGGGTGGGAAGACTGGGGAGAGATAATATTAGGAGAAATACCTAATGTAGGTGATGAGAGGATGGAGACAGCAGACCACCAGGGCATGTGTATGCCTGCCTGACTGACTATGTAAGAGTCTTGCAGGGTCTGCATCTGTACCCCAGAACTTAAAAAAAAACCCCTGTATAATCCTATAATGGTGAAAGTACTTGAATCCTGTTGAGCTTGGTAGCTCATGTCTGTACTGCTAGCACTTTGGGAGGCTGAGGCAGGAGGATTGCTTGAGGCCAGGAGTTCGGGACTAGCCTGCATAGTATAATGAGACCCTGTCTCTACAAAATTAAAAAAAATGTATTGGCTAGGCATCTTGGCACATGCCTGTAGTCCCAGCTATGGAGACTGAGGTGAGAGGATCACTTGAGCCCAGGAGGTTGAGGCAGCAGTAAGC